TCATTGGCGTGGTAGTGAGGTGCTAATTTTTATTTTCTTCAGGTTAACCTTATTGGGCTTTTTATATTGCTTACAGAGAGATAGAATGCTAACATGAACTAGCGCTTGTCAGAGGCCATTGACTGACCCAACAGGTTACACTCAAAGAAAGGACATCTTGGGTGCCCCAGAACTATTTCTGCNTAGATGAAGGCCTATTTAGGAAGGATATTTCGGATATGAAAGAATAGGCTGTTTGATGCATACTACTCTTCAGAACATTGATAAGGAAATTAAGCGGACAGAAAACGATTACTTAAGTAAAAATCTTTGTTGAAACCAATATAACCTAATTGCGCTGCAGCAATCTCGAAAGCACATCCCATAACATTTCAGATGCGCAGCCAATTCGTTTAGCGCTGATTTCTCTGTAGATAAAGTTTGAAAACCGTGTTCAGTTGTAGAGTGGAAGATTATTAGGGGTTCATTCTGTATCAGTGTAAGAGCGTAAATCGCAGATACCAGCAGATGTGCTGTCAGGATGTCTCTCCTTTCAGTTGGGTCCGTACCTCTCCAATAGTTTTTTCCGAGAATGAAGGCTGAATAGTACCCGAATAAGGTTTCGATTACCGGAATCATTGGCGTGGTAGTGAGGTGCTAATTTTTATTTTCTCTGGGTTAACCTCTTTGGACTTTTTATATTGCTTACAGAGATGGAATGCTAACACGAACTATCGCTTGTCACAGGCCATTGACTGACCCAACAGGTTACACTCGAAGAAAGGACATCTTGGGTGCCCCAGAACTATTTCTGCTTTTGTGTTCGCAAAGTCATATGTTTGCAGTGACGATGGCCGTTGCAAGACTACTGTAGCAGTTTGAACTTTCGCAAAATTTTCCAATTTTGGAGCATTTGGTCGCGGGGTTTAAGTACGCTCAAAGAAACACTTTTTTTCTGCACCAATCACACTAGAATTAAGTTTTTTTGCCCGTCACCGTATGCCGATAACCGGATGCACGGCAAGTTTTAGTGTGATTAAATAGAATTTTTAGATGAGACATGTTTCATAGCTTTCTTATGTTACGGTAACAAGCCAGAATGGCTTTTGTAATGAAAAAAAGTGAGAAGGAACAACAGTTGCAAAGCCAAAGTGAAATTCAAGATTTGTTTTGAGCGTGGAAAGATAATTTTCTGTCCCTCAGGTAGTTGTTGATCTCGTGTCTCAGCTTCGTATTACATTTTGCATAGATAAGTATGCGAGTAGCTGACGATACCATATAACAGATGCTGACTGTGTCCGAAAGAGCTGAATGTGAGAACTTAGGTTCGGTTGGGAAGGGAGAAAATGAGAGCCAAACTTACCAATGTAGAAGTTGCTGGACTGGTTAGGATCATCTGTATCATAGAGGAGCGAAAATAGATCATCAGTACGTTCGAGAAATGTAAGAAAAATATGAACACCGTTACACACTAGGTATGACATTACTATCGCCAGCATGGTATAGATGGCATTTCGAAGTTGGGACCGTTTACCTCGGCATGACCTGTAAGGAATTTTTTACTTACTTTTCACTTCATTCGTACATTCAAAGGAGTAGATGACCCCAAAAAAGGGCGAAAACCGACAACTCACTGTCTTATGAGCGATTCCCTCATAACCTCACTGGCCAGCTCTAGTAGAACAAAGTTTTCCGGCAGTGTTCCGGATTGATTTTCAATCAGCGTCTTATTCAAGCCGACACTGGATAGGCGAGGCTTCATATTTGAATACGTCTGAATTGAGTACCGGGTAACAAACCACAAATCATTCGAACACCTCGTAATATTCCTTTTATGTTGGTCAATAGCTGTGTCAGTGTTGATAGGCTTGGTCAACAACCTACTGAAGCGCAGTAAGGAAAGTAAGTATAACGTTAGTGAAACAGTAAGTTCAGTGTTCAGCGAACGTTCTGACTCGGGTTCTGCCCAGTAGTGAGCGCTTCACGTTACAGTTTAGAGCTGGTAAGAGTAACATTGGAATTACCTGTATCTTACCCTGAACTGTGCCAATTACCAACTCTAAATGATTTCTCTATCAGGTAAACTTTTTGGGAGTAAAAGGTTTGGATCCTTGGGTTAGTATGGCTACAGTATTAAATTTGCGGAAAAACTTGNGCGATAGCCGTCATGAGGTGCGGCCATGCTCATTTCTTTATTTGCAGATGGGTGGAGCTACCTGTAAGGGAAGGAGCTGTCTGAGGTCAAGCGGACTGACATTAGAGGGAGGGTTGATATCTAACTTTACAGCTGTACGATAAAAATCGGTTGTGGTTCTACCCTGCTTGAATAGAAAGGATGGATTTAGGGGTAAACCAACTCACATGTTCACGTTTCTGAGCAAGCATACGTTGGACGATAACCATATTAAGAATGAGCAATACAAAGAATGGGAAACAAGTCTGAACGGCTGTGATCACATGGAAATCGAAGACATAGTAAGCTGAAATCGAAGGAGTTTGTTGATAGAGGAAACGAGGAGACGAGAGAGATGGATAAAGTAATAGTGCGGGCAATTACCATGGCTTTCCGAAGCCCATTCAGCCGGCGAAACGGATTCACTGCGGAAGTAGTCTTTGCAGTGTGGAAATTGCTTTACCTAAATACTTTTGTTTGAGTAAGGATTTCTCATAGCCTAACTGCATTAATTTAACCATTACTGCATAACTAATCTGATTAGAATAATTAAAAATAGGTGCTCATTTCTGTAAAGAAGATGTGGACGCGAAGAAGGAGGCTGATGCCACCTTGCTGAACCCATGTGCCCTCGGAAAACCTACCTACCTATGAAATTTTGAAAAAAAGTTTAAATATCTCTCATTCGAGCTAAGAAACTATTGTCGATTTGAAATCTCGGAAGCATATTCCCAAGGTATGTTGTCAAGGGTTTAGTAGCAATTAGCTGGTTCTGAAAATGGAAGTCGTGATGGATGGAATCCTATTTTATTTGGTTAGAGGTTAATTTCAATTTATTCTTGCTCTAATGCCATAGCTTTCAGCCATTCCTAATGGAAATCCGTATCCTAAAAGCGAAAAACCACTTAACGGCGGTTGAAAGCGAATTTGTTTGGACGAGTTTTTCATCACAAAAAACGCGCTACAATAACAGGGGTGCGCTTCGTTGCGCGTGTTCGTCGAAACTAGGTCACGCCGCAGCCGTCGCACGCGGCGAGTCGGCCCGCGATATTTGACAGACGTCGCAANAGAGGGGTGCGCCGCGCGCGAAGTGGGCGGGGTGACCTACTTCCGACGGACGCGCGCAACGGACGTTCTCCCAATAACAGCACTGTCAGCCCGACCAGTCTCTTCATATTGAATGTTGAATTAGGGAAAATCCTTTGCAGTCGGAAACAATATGCATCAAGAAAAAAGAAAGATAGTACAACGAGATAGTGACCGAGTTTTCCTCTATAGAAGCTTTTCCTGAGCCTATAATTTTTGAAAGGGTTCATAGAATTTCCACTGTTTATACCTTTTTTTCGCATTTTAGAAAATTTTCAAAGTAACTGTAGTCGGAACTGTTACCTCTGTAGCTAGAAGGACTGGTAACCTTATGAGAATGCTCATTGTGACAAGTATGGATACGGTAATACAGCGTCCTTTGTCGTTGAATACCGGTGCAAATACTTGCCTAAAAAGATCGCTACAACCTGTGTTATAAAGATAAATGCGAACAAGTTAGATGATGACATTTAGTAAGGATGAAAGATAATCAAGGATTCAGATCTATGTTTTTTTCTTTATATTTGTTGTTGATATTAATATTATGAAGTGTTCGGGCAAGCGGATTTCTGGATGACTTTCGTTTTTTCGACCTTTTGAAAAAGGTCGAAAGTAGAGAAGACAGCCGAACATTAGTTCTGGTTGTAAGCTTCATCTTAACTCAAATTTATTCTGCAGAAAGATCTCAACTTATTCAGTGATTCAACTTAAACATCCGAAAGGTCTGTACACTAAAAGCTTTCCAGAGAGTTTTTGAACCACTCACCTTGTTTTCTCGTTGCTTGTCCACACGTACCTTTCCAGAGTTATCAAAATCAGCAAAAATGGTATGGCGAATTGAACAGTTTTTGCGATGAAGAATATGGGAACAATATAGCGATGATAAAGGAAGAATAGCGTCTGAAGTAGTAAAGGTGAGTAAGGAATATTGAGCTATTCATATGTACTAATTAGACCGATATAACTTTTCCTCTGATTTAAATAGAAGTCACCGTTGATTCAGAAGCCGATCCATAAAAAGTTGTGAAGGGCTACATAAGAAGATAATAGGAAGTCATTAGAGGTAGTAGGCAAAATGCAAAGGAACAGCAAAGCCGCGTTCCTGGGAATACTCTATCGATTGATCAGTACGGCACGCTCTTAACGTTGACTTACTAGACCAATATTATTGTTAGAGAGATAGGGCAATGTATTTGCCTATTGGAGGTACAAGTTCGGGGTGTGGTGCAGTAGGAACGAAATTGCCGCGTCGCGGTGAGAGGGACGTCGCGCGCGAAGGAATGTAGCAGGATGCAGCAGTAGGTAAGCAATTCAAGAACAAAAGTACTAATAGTAGAATTATGTATAAAATAATGATCGCATATCGATTGAGCTGCATAAAGAACGCTAGAGCTNGCCGCGTGCGGCGAATCGATTACCCAAAATCGTTCCTAACGCCCGTTTCCCCAAAATCTCTATGCTAATCATTTTCCATCAGCCTTATTAAGCTCTGGTGAGGGTTTCGGAGTAGCGTCTAGAGTGCGCCATGCATCCAACCATCTTTTCAAAAATGGGCGCATATATGTTTGTATTGTTGGTTTGAACGATGAGTAAAAAAGTTGTGCAAATCATTTCACTAGTGCTACAGAGAGCCCTGGTTGCAAAATAGCAGTTTTGTAGCACTCAAATCGGTCTCCTCTCGGGACGGCTATCAGGGGAATTATACTTTGAGCTACTGTGCTTCCTTTAGATTATCAGAGTTATGAGTAATGAAAGAGTGAAGCAAATAAGCCTTCACTTGGGCATGATGATCTCCGAAGTTTTTTCGGTTTCTATATGTTTCTTTCTAAATATCTGTTGAAGAATTCAACTGAAGTGGAATATGATCGACTACGGCAAATTACTAGGTTGTGCGGAAAGTATCTGCCAAAAATTTCGCATAAGTCATCGTGTCCCTTCTCTCGGAATTTCCTGGAAGCTTCCATTAAAGTACTCATTTGTATGCGCATAGTTTATGAGGAGCTCTCATGATGTTGCCGTCACTTGACCTTATTGAGGCTCATCTTCAACCTTCCGTTTCCGGCTTCGGAGCCTCAGCACGAGACAGGTACAGAATCATTCAGTAGGAGCTCTAAGGTCAAATGCTTGGCACAAATTTGAATGGGTCTCAGCAGTGGATTGGCTGGGTCGAACTCGAAAAGAAGTACGGGTTGAACAAGGGTATGCAGTTGGGTAATTAAATGGGTAAGTAGGCAAGGAAGAGGTAAACGGGTATGCTAGAAATAGGTATCAAAATGAATCTACGATCACCTAGGGAATAAGAAGTGCATTAGGACGATACGCCTTTTCAAAAATTCTCATCAGCAAAGATCGAATCTTACTTCGACGAGTCAAACGGTTTTTTGGAGCTTCCTATTTAGGAATGTTAATTAAGGCTGTAAAGCGGTGCTTCCGACTAGCCTATGTAAATAGTGGTTCAGGCTCCATAAATATTTTAGTACGTCAGCTTTCCAAGGAAAGTATTTGGATGCATGGCGCATTCGGGAAGCGTTGAACTCTGATTGCTATGGCATCATTTGGCAAATTTTATTAGGAATTAGGAAGAAAAGTTGTAGGACGATATACTTCAAAACAACAAGGCGGGAGGGCAGGACTAGTCACAGTGAGAAGGAGCGAAAACCGGTTGAACAGTTTTTTGAAATTGGTAATTTAGGATTTGAAAATTTCGGACTTTATTTTATTTTATTATTTTTATTTTGTCATACAATTCAAAACTAAATGTCTTCGGGAATGGCGAGCAATCAGGAAAAATCTTGGATCAGTATACGTCATGTCAGAACTGTGTCATGAAATTCGGCCATGCAGAAAGAAAACTCGTTTTTCACCGTATCCAATCGTACCGTAGTCTCACCTTGTTCCTGAGATAAACGAAACCTGCATCAACACCGAATAGCAGTAAATAGGTGAGACAGATGAGCATATCCATCGACGCAAGACATGCCAGATAGACCGATGCTGGCAAAGTTCTCCAGAATACAGCCATCAGAAGCTGGAACGGTCAGGCATCGTACAGAGGTGACTGAGCTCAACAGAACTAGCCTAAAAACTTACCGTATTGCCAAGAATTCCAAATATGGAAACTACAGAGAATGCGGTGATGATGAGAAATCGCTGAAGGGTGTAACCCTCAAAAAAGCCGCACTCTTCAACCTCTTGACTGAGGTTCATCGTTCAACCTTAAGCACTGAATCGATTGTGAATGAATCTAGTATGGAAAGAAGCATTGAATCGTAGTAAATAGAACTCCAAAGAGTTAATTGTAATCGATAACGAATGATAATGGGTGATAAAGAAGAGTGCAGAACTGCACAACAATGAGAGGACTTCAACCGAATAATCGAACAGATCCAATTGCGATACTTCATGATGAGCAGCAGGATTTGGTGTTGAAGAAATGAGATTTTCTGGGGGTAAAACCGCTCAAAATCAGTCTCCCTCGGGTATAGAGAGCGGATGCCTTTCATTACAAAAGGTTCCCGAAGATTTGATTGCTTCGTTACCCGGAAAACATGAGCGGATTGAAGATACGGCGGATGTCTCCGTCTCCTGGAGAGGATAGGATGATTGGAATAAAAAAAACTTGGAAAAAATGGGCAGCTAAAGCTCTAGGAGCGAGGAAGTATCCACTAATTGTTGAGAATGTTTGACAAATGCCTCTTGAACGCGACAAACAAGCTGAGAAGATTAATTCAAGCCTGAAGGCGTCTGGAGAAGTGCGAATGCTTCTGTCAAAAACAACGAGTAAAGTGAAAACGAGGAGGAGGGGAAGGGCAAAAATAAACGGAAGCTGCAATTTAATGATGGAATGATCATCGGATGTTGAACAATTCATTAAGGGCAATGGTTCTTCTTCGGTAATTCGACGATTAGATTGCACCCTGAGACCAACTTGGGCCATTCCCGGATAACCACGGTTAGACGATTGGCGGAAACTCGGACGAATACTGGACCANAAGAAGACAGGTCATATGTAGACTGGATTTCATCATTGTCAACCCAGGAGACGTCCGAGTTTTCTCATTGCCAGCAGACATGCTATTGTGAAAATATCAGCTGGTCTACGGGGAAGTGAATAAATAGAAAGAGAAATATCCAACGAAGTGCTCATATATCAGCCAACTGTCGTGCTTATAAACACCTTTGTCATCCGAACTTGCTATATTGAATAGTTATAAGCTCCGGAACCCCGAAAATTTCAGGGTTTTAAACTTTAGAACTATTTTGTGTTCTATCCCCAGATGTTCAATGTAGGGCTAATTATCATTAAAAGGCCATTCATCTCATCTCGGGTCACATCAGGTGGCCAATCCATTAGTTGGTAGCAGAAGTGCATGGGTTTAATCCAGAGCTGGGTATGTACTATATAATTATGTAGGGCATGATTATTTAAGAAAAATTCGGGAAAATGCCTGAAATTGGAGAAACGAGCCTTTTTCCTCTGAAAAAATCTAGATGTATAGCGGAGTTGTCTTAGCTCTTTTGTCGCTGTTTTTCAAAAACTCGTCTTAGTACCACCCCGAAAAAATCGTTGGACTCCAGCTATGTGAGAATTTCAGGAAAAAGAGAAAAAACCTATGAATGTGAAGAACTAGCGATATTCTAGAGAGAAAGGGAAAATTCTGTCGTCTGATTGGTTTTGCACAGCTACTCTTCAGCTTGTTTTTCCTTGTATGAGCAGTTCCCGAAAAAAAAAATGGGATTTCACCCGTAGGTATCTATTTACCCATGACATTGCTGTATATTACTAGATGGGACCAGGTGAATTAGCAACAATTTTCGCCGTAGTGATATCAAACTTATAGTCCTGGGATCGATTCCCGATCCAAAACCGATCTTGGTACTTACAATTAGCAAAGCGCTTCCAGAACGTCATTCCTGGTCGGGTAGATGGCAGGATGAGTACTTGTCCGTCAAGTTGGGTGGTAATAGAGTGTACGAGAGCTGAAACCCCGTCAAACTGGCAGGAGCAGAAGGAACCTTGGGTTTGGCCATTTTGCCTTAACTCTGACTCTCCACCTGTTTCATGTATGAGGACAGCCATGAAGGTGTGAAATTGAAGCCTATATGAACTACCCATGTAGTGTGGGTGGTCTGAAGCATGAACTCAGTACAAAAAGCGTTGGAAATAAAGAAAAGTAACCAACAGATGGCCACAATGGTTACAGAGAAAGCTAGCATTCGGTTGTCCCTTGACTACCTGTCGTTGCCTCTAAAGAGTATTGACTCTTCCGGCATGGAAAGACTCAAAAAAAACTTTTACTCAAGGACCTTTGACAAGCAACAGTTCCCAGTACTCGGAATAACCCAAGCATCAAGTTTTTTTTTTGGGTGTTGGGATCTTCTTCCATCATATATTTTGCCGTCTCACGTTCCCATTCGTAGCCATTATAGCCTTTAATGCAGCTATTTTGAATTCAAAATATTTGAATAGAATGACTGCCAGAAAAGCTTACGTCCTCTTACTTTCCAAGGGGCTTTTCTGACTTGACGGGGAGAAATACTGAAAAAGCAATTCTTTGTACTCTCGAAGGATAGATGGTGATACCAGGATATCCGAGGATAGAGTAATGAACGGGAAAAACGGATACGAGTAGGAAATGATTGCCGAGGCAATTTCGATTTGCTTGCACGGGGTTAGGTCTTCGGGTCCAATTCGATCAAGCACTAATATTTGGATGGAGTCGTTTTTGTCATATTAATATGAGCGCTATAATTATGAGTGAAAAAAGTTGAAGCAGTACGTTCTTGGAGCAAATTCCAACTGCTCAGATGCTGTTGGAGCTTCCAGAGCTACGGTAGTTTTCCTTGAAAAATCGCAATCGATTTATTGGTATGGTCTTATACCCATGTATAAAATTACTCAGTAATAAGGTTAACATCGATACTGATTGTAAATGCTTATAGGGACAAGGGTGGGGTAGGAATATAGCATCTAAATTTCAAAGAAAAATCTGGAAAACTACATATCCACTGTAGGAGAGGTCTTCAGTCAGCTAGATAACCTCTATGTCTTGCTGAGATTGGGAGGGCGTGGCCTAAAATGATGAACGGGTTGTTTCCCGAAATTGTTGAGTGTGTCGATGAACATCGGAATCATTTGAATCAGCTGTTCCAAGAGTTTCTCATCAATTAATCATGACTGTTATTCGGTCGTCACGCCATGAATCAGAGTCCCTCTCGAAGTCATAGTGGCGTTTGGATGTGAAGTAATGGCCCATTGGACTAAGTGAATTTGCGAATGTGGACAGACTCAATCCAGTGGAAAGTACGTATTCATTCGAGCGTCTTCATCCCCTAACTAATCTTTGCCTTTCTCCGCTGCCGTTTATTCTAGCATGGTGGAGTTGTTGCTATCAGGCATAAAAGCTGTAGGTTTTTTGTAGATTCGACTATCTCCATTGAATCGGAAGTGATGAGGGGAAAAAATTCGAAGAGCAGACTGATTGGATATGAAATTCTTGCTGATGAAGCATGTTTTTATCATACCAGTGGGAGATTATGACTAGTTACAGGGAAGTGCCGCTGCAGAAAAGCGCGTTCATGTGTGAGAAGTGGATTCTTGCCATAAAGCATGAAATGGAGTGAAAATGCAGGTATAAAAGTAATGTGTCGCACAGATAATAAGTGATAACATATGATAAGGAATGTTAATGGTAACAGATGCAAGTGTCACATATCCTATGCATTCAGGCCCAGTTAGGCAGGATTTGGATCAGGGTATTGTATGGAAAAAGCGTAGTGACTTCACCGACATGTGGTAGCGAGTGATAGCAAACGATAACAAATGATAATGAGTGGTATTGGACCCATGCCACCGAATACGCTAGTTGATTTCAGGTACAAAGTTGGGACCTGTAATGAAGAAAGCAGCTTAGAAGATTGGTCGATGTCTGCCATTTATTTCTCCGCCCGCAGTAAAAATTTACACGACATTATCATCATATCATAACAGTGCGGATTTTTCTATGGATGGAACTTGGTGAACCACAGGTCAGTTGCTTCTTTTTTTCTCTAAAATTACCATTTAGAACAAACTGCTACAATTGATTTATTACACTGGGCGTTTGCACTGAGACAGACATTAGAGGTCGCCTATATCTTCTACTCCTATCCTATCGGATTCTATTAGCTCAGAAGCTCAATTATAATATAATCTCAAAAGGCATCCTTACTGATTTCCCGGAAACAACTAAGACCCTCGAAGCAACGTCATCATAGTCTGCGAGCACGAAGATTGCTCTTAGGCATTTTCAGACGAGGAGGAAGGACCTTTTTAGGAAAAGCTTTTATAAAAGGATGAGACATAAGAATTAGCCGGTGCAGATATTAGCAAAAGCTCTCAGGACTAATAGATTTTTCCAAGAAATGAATATTCAGAAAAAAGGGCATGCCTAATAGGTGATCAGGGGCCTACTTGAAACTACCCTAGGGTTCCTCTAGCTGAAAACATTTTCATAAGCCAAGGTCTGGGAGTAGTAGCAGAGCAAGTAAAACAAGTGAAGGATATTCCGTGGCGATTAACTGAATGGGAAGTTTCTCAAGCATAAAATGAGCTCGGGACCGTATCAGGGGAGCAAGAGGTATTATTAAAGAGCTCTGAGGTCGTGAACTTGCGTCTACTCCTTTGACCTTGGCTATTCATGTTTGGAAGCGGTCTCATTCTCTTTACCCAGAGACGTTGCTGCTTGTCTTGAGAGTAAGATAACCTCCAGTAAATGTAACTTATATCTTCAAATGTCTGAATGACGCCATTACCAAGTGCTTCTGGGCCCGCGGACTGTCTCATTTAAAGGAATGCCATTATGGGTTTGCAAATTGGTCAAGTTCCTCTGAAGTATGAACTTATCACTGTCTGGCTTGTAATTTCAAGGGTAATCGGGTCGTGACTGCCCATCCGTCCCCTTCAAGAGCTAGTTAGAAACGCTAAATCGTGAAGGCCATGAATAGATAAATAACTCGTGATATTCGCATACAGTTCACTTCTTTCAGAGCTACTATTCCGAGAAAAATCATGGCCTCTCAACGGATGGTATACTATAGGACCGGTTATGGAATATGAAACGGGATTAGAATAAATTTCTTATAATGACTCCTTAGCTTTTTTCGGTGACCTAGCCGCATTTGGAAACTATCCCAATCCCGCCCCTCCCGCCAAGTCCGCCTACTATGACAGCACCGCCTGCTGCGCCAGCTATCTCCCCTAAAAGAACGTAGAAAAAAATATAATCACGCTTTTTAATGTTAGGTGGTGCAAAGTAGAAAATTAAATGAAATTGTTCTCTTAATTCATTTCGGTTTTTTTATTTCTTTACTGTTTTCTTTTCTTGAAAATCGTTCCCTCCCAAGAACCTAAAGCTACGAAAGGTGGTATTTCGAAGATGCAATTAATGTAGTTCTTCTCAAGAATGCAAGTTATTAATCTGTCCTTTCTCGGAGTAACCGATAATCTCGACCGATAATAAAAGGATCGCCCATTGAGGACCCAACCATTCATCATTGTCGGCCAGTATCATTGTGTCTACCACGGTACCTTCCAATGAAGGCACGTTCCCTACTTTTTAGAAACCCCGCCTCTTCTTCTGAAGCTCCTCCTACTGGTAAAAGCTGTCTCTGAAAAAAAGAGGAGAATACTGTAATCGGACAGCAGGTTCAGCGGAGAGGAAAAAGTTGAGGATCAAACAGCGAAGGAAACTGAAGCGGAAATGGAATAAAAACAGAATCAGACTGAAAGGGATTGAAAGGCTCGTCTTGCAGTGATGGAATCGCTGAAAGTCTAGGCGTAATAGAAAGCTGTGACGAGGACTGCGAATGACAGCCTGCATATTCTTCGAGGGATAAGTCGCGCAATGAGTGGAAAAGGAGATGGTCGAGCAGAGAACTGGAGAGAGGCTGTCATTGACGGCACCAGAAATGACCGCCAGTTCATATTCACATGTTGCTTTCTCTTCGATGAATCTGCCATAGTAATGAGATTATCAGCTGAAAAGGATGAGAGTGATTGAGTCATTAGGCGTCAGTCAATTCCGTCTGAGTTTGCGCCCCGCATTTGTCGTCCTTTCAGAATTGTAGTGGGGGTATTGAATGCGTATGTGGCTTATGCAATGGCTACGGTAGCCAGCCGATGTCTAAAAATCAGCCTTTTATCCTTGCAGATGAGTGTGATAGAATTTAACCGACCTGGGAGGGACGAAGACTTCGTTGGCTCAGGGAAATATCGATCCTCGATTGGTTGTCACTGCACCATCTCCGCCTGATGGTCAGCTCAATTTAGGTAACCTTCAGGATTTTGACTGGGTAACGTCGTTTTGCTTCTACTTAGAATGCCCCTGACCACTTGAAAAATCAAAATTGCTATCCTCCCAATTTTGAATCGTGGAAAAGAGGAATTCAAGGTTTGTGATCCCTTGGGTTCTAGACAATCGGTAAGGTAATAAATGCTTGTTGAAGTGGTCTTCTTCAACCTATGATTTCGGGTTGTTTATGACACCAATCTTATTTAATTGAACCATAAATAATCCGAATAATAGGTGGTATCCCAAGAGGGTACAACCGTGTCATCCCGCAAGTGGGATATCAGTTTTCATGATTCTGAGAACTTGAAATTTTGAAATAAAAAAATCTAATTCAAGCGATTCATAGGCAGTCCTATTGTTCGCTTTTAATAATTCGAATGGGCTGATTGGATAACAGGATGAGAAATTTCCCAGCTCCATTCAGATGGCCTGTGTTTTATATACGTTTTGTCCCAAGCGATTTAAGCCACGCCCCTCATCTGAACACGAAATTTACTTTTCGTACAATTCAGCTTAGCCGGGGCAAGATGACTTTGAAGTTGGTGAAGGTCAAAAAAGTGAACATACTTAGGTACATGTCGTACTCGTCTTTTCAAAAAATCTCAAGAAATATTGAAATAGTAATTGATCAATGAAGCGTTTTTGAGTACCACAAAGCACGCCCCATTATTTTGATATTTCAAAAATTTGAATAATTTTATCAAATATCTAGGTCAAAGCAGTAAAACTAGTAGGGTTGGCGAATGGGATAACATCAAAAAATTCATTTTCTAGGTTCAGTTAGCCTATTAAGTCGGTGTTTAGACCCATACTTAATTCCCAGCTTCTTGCCATGCTGGTCAGCTGTTGCCCTTTGATCCAGATGCACTTTAATTCAAAACAGTGGTGACATGTAAGTAAAGTATACTACGCAGTAGGACGAATCATCAACGCATGATGTACTAATAAAAATAGGCTATGAAATTGTGACTGCCCAAAGGCGAGCGATGAAAGCCGCTTACTCTGCACTTTAGAAAGGTTACATCGAGGCCGAGGGAATTTGGGCATCATTCATGTTGTTCTCATGGACGAATAAGGCAAATACCAAGAAGCAAAGAAAGCTTTATCGAATTCTTTGGAGCATTGAGAGACTCAAACAACTCATTTTCATCCCAACTTGATGCTGTGGAGACGAGTGGGCGTGGCCACACTATCAAAGATCGGATCGATATCGATCGAAGTTATCGGCTTTGGTCTCAGGCATAATACCGGCTTTTGGTATTTTACTACTATCGGTAATTCTTTAAATTCAGGTGAATCATAATTTTATATAATTGTTCCCCCTTGACTGAGAGCTAGGTGAGCTTCTGGCCCAAAAACCATGTCCAAAAGTCGCCGATGGTAGTTCCGGGACCCGGGAGTAGTACAGTGAACCCTCGCCCGAGACTTTTGTCGATTTGTCATGGCAACTGGTATGAAGAAAGAATTTCAATTACTAACTCTGACAACCTTTGACAGAACCTCTGACATATATAATATTTTGACAAATACATATTAATCCGTTGGTCTGATGTCTTCCGACCATCGGAGGCATGAGGCCCAGGAGAGGACCAGAAGTTGGGCATGAGAAAATTTGGTTTTGGTTGTCTTAAAAGCTTCAACCAGGCTTCCTTTAAAAGGATCTGCTGAACAATTCACGAAAAATCGAAATGGAAACGTTGTTTATGTCCGTTTAGCTCGTTTTATGATTGATAGTACAGACGATGTAAATGCCAACAGCTGCTTTATGGCCTAGAAAGTGCGGATGAAAGAGGCAAAAAGGGAGGAAAGGTGAAAAAGTGATGTTTCAGTAGGTGGAGAGCTACCGAGACAGGAAATATGACCGTATGACAGCATGATTTCTTTCTGTGAAGTAATAACAAGTTTTTTCGATTGGCAATTTAGAGACAAACATGGGTGACGATGAGATTTTCAAGCGCCAATAACTGGCTCCAAGATTCATTGACGGGTGGAAGATGTAAATGTTGACGTGGTGATTCACTTTGAGAAAAGCTCAACCCGAACTCATAGGAAGGGACGTGATGAAAGAAAGAGCTATAGATTGAAGTCCCAAGGCTTCATTTTAGTGGACGATTGCCTGAAAGAGTATGGCCAAATGGGAGAAAGATGGATTTCGCGCTTCTCTCAACCCGTTCTGAGAAAAATGGAGAGGAGCTGAAACCCACCTAACTGCAAAAAACAGGTTAGGAGGGAAGGAATGGACCTATGGGTAATATTCCCCGGACAATAGTACGAAGTTGTTTGGATTTCCAATCTAATATGCCTTCCACAAGGTGGTTTTCCCGTAAGGGGCGCCCTGATTAGGCATTTTTGGGTAGGGCACCCGTAATGAATAAGTCAAGCTCTGAAACTGGTAGTGAATACCACCTATTTGCCCAAGCTCCACCCCTAAATGGGCGGAAACAGTGGGTAGCAGAGAAAGGCTTTGGGCAAGAAAAAAACTGCCTCAGAAATCAAACGACTGTTTTGCAGTTGAATATGATACGTAGCAAAATGGGAAATCGTGCATTCCAACCTCAATTCGTCCCGGATGATTACATTCTGTCTCCCAAAACTCGTCCTTTTCTCAATTTTCAAACCGGTCGCTGAATAAATCAGCCTCTAAAAATTAGCTCCGCTTTGTCGTTCTCACAAAAACAGCAGGAAATATTTATGAATAGTATAAATTATACCGTATACCCTAGCTAGACAAATAGGAAGTATATTTTACGAAATGACGTTTTGGCTAATTTTTCATATGAGCAGAGATTTCTGGGTTACCAATTGATCGTTCTCGGAAGGACCTACTCACCTAACTTTGCTTTTTGGCTTTGCTGACTGGACTAGAGAAATTGGTTTTATTTGTTTTTTATTTATGTTTTTGTTTTTTATTGTCAATTCGTCAGAAATGCCTAAGGGAAAGGGACCGATCCAAGGCGAGCCAATGGTTTTCAGAAGTTATGGGTGCTATTTTACAAGCTTTTTCAAAGCATAATATGATGAAGGTAATTGAGTTGTTAGGTTTGATTTAGGGTACAAGTAAGTACAATAAAATCAATTTTCCCGTCGACAAGCAGTATTTCCGTTATTATGAGCAATAAAAATCCTTTCAGCTAGGATTAAATGATCAATCTGAAGTGTTTTCGTTAGCCCACAGTTGTTCGTTTCCTGGGTAAACTTAAGGTTAATTGACCATTAAACTAAGCTCACACAGGATTTGGCCACCATTACTTGAGTAAAGGAATTGAGTGTGAGGGGGAGAGGGGGGGGGGGGGGGGNATCAGGGACTGATAATCGTTGCTTCCATTGTACGAGATCGCTCTAAGGTAGTGAACATTTGGACGAGTTCATCTTCGTTGGCATTAAACAAAGTTTCACTTCGATCAATGTAACAGTAAGCAGTTTGTGAGCAGGGAAGTTTGTGAGTAGGCAATAACAATAACAAATACGGTCTAGTAGTCACGAATATGATAAGGAATGAATGAATGGTTCGAAAAAACAGCTAATCAATTTTTACCGACGATGCTCCACTTGACGTGCCACAGTGTCGCACGCCTAGGTCACGCCGCAGTGACGTCCCTTTGGAGGCGTGACTTTCACTAAAAGGTGTACCCGTCATTGCCCTTAGTTTAATAGGATTGTTTTTGTGCCCGTTTCGTCGTAAAAAAGGATGTCCCTCTAGCGAATGAATCTCTCTGCGAGTACCTCACATGCCACAACCACCTTATCTTGATTGCCCTTGATTCGGAGATTTACGGATTCCAAGAATCTCTTCTCCACCGCTTTTTATAGCTCCTACGTGATTTCCTAGAGCTTGTAGGCTATGGAAAAGGTACTTTGTCCTCTTAGAAAAGTGCTAGCGAGGTAGATGGCATTTAAGAGACAAGGCTAAATATACAAAATATTAGTCTCACTAATACTTCTGTGAAGCAGCCTTCGGATTGGTATTTAATTGAAATTCATGATTTTGTGAGCTGATTACCCTTTACCCTTTCATGGACATTAAACGATTACTTCATTTGTATGTGCCCTTTGTAGCAATGGCTTATTTCAGATCAAAGGGCAGAGGCAGCACGAGATAATGGCAGATGAGTTTTGATGGAAACCAACACGGCCTTTCTGCACAATCTTCCCACACAACAACTAGTCCAACCGAAAAAAAATGGTGAGTGAATCGTATTTTGGTGATCAGCTCTTGAAATTAGTTCAGTTTCTGATCTTTGTGGGCTAATTCCAAAAAAACTGAAATAAACTAAAGGCCATGTTCATATAAGAGAACAGACACACAACTTGGCTGTTTCCAGCGAGCCACTACATTTGTTAAGTTCACCTTCAAATATTTGTTCCTTTTTGGCTGGAAGAGAAGGTGTGGCTCACTCAAAAAGGGCTCTGTTCGCCAGCGGCTTCTTATTTCAACTCCGGGCCACTTTTTGATTTTACTACCAGTTTTTCATGGAAATTTCGTCCTCAACAGAATGCCCTTGGAAGTTTCATGGGGTGAATGGTATAAGGAAACAGCGAGAGCAGAACTAAGTCTAACCCCTGCCCCTAAATAATTTTCGTTCGAAATCTGAATATTACGAAACTGGAGCATTCTCATTTTTTGAACGTCAGATTAGTGGTGATGAGGAGCGTTCCCCATGTCATAGCTGACAAAAAGGAAGGAAATAAGGGTGCAATTGACTCACTGAAGTAGTTACTTGAGAACATGTTTCGTCAGCATGGCTTCTAAAAACCGCTGCGACTCCCATTGAGGATTTTACATGGATTTGTCTTGATGGCGTATTCCGAAAACCCATCCGTTCCACTTTTTTCATTCGAGCCCGAAAAGCATTCATCTCGATTGTCCGTGTCGTCCGAGAGCGAAGGAGCAACCGAAGAGTATTTCAGTCGTATTTTTTTGCAGAGGGTCCCTGAGTGTGCATTAGGGGATTGCGTATTACGGTCACAACTGGGGTAATCAAAGCTTTCATTGGGATCTGAACGACAGGCGTGGTTTGAGTAGCAATACGGCCATCTGCCAGTGTTATCACTGTATTGAGTACCCGGGCGCACCCCATTGGTGAATGACCTTGCAAACTCCTCCCACTTGTAAACCTTACAATATTTATTCCCTTTGCTGCATTTGATTAGCAAGTGCACAAATGAGCTCTGAAACACGTTGAAATCACTGCCACTAAGGTGCAGCTCACAATAATTTCGAGATATTCAGTATAAGAGAAGTAGTTCGGTGCATCAAAATACACGAAAATAGAGAAGAAAGCGTGATACTCGGCCGAACCATCAGATGTGTGGCTTCAAAAAGTAGTAGAAAAGTGGGCTGTTCGAGATTATGTGTTTGTGATGGCCTGGATGTGCTGATCCTGAGGGCCCCAGGTTCATCTTAGGGATAAATCTCAGATACCATTGTTATCGTGAAGTATTCCTCTAATGATCCTGTTTCCGCACACAGCATTTTACGCAAACAAAAAAGGGGCCATGAACTGTTTCTGACGGCAATTTTCGCCCAAACTGACAAGGTAATCCGCATCGTAGGGTGGTTGAAGCCATTATGAAGACTTTTCTCGGTAATGAAAATCTTCACTTTCGCAGCCCAGAGATTGCCGGCCTATTTATTCGGTTATGTTCAAAATATAATCAACGATTTAAATGGAAGAAAGTGCGTATAGTCAAAACAGTAGGTAAACCTTCGTTCCGCCCTGTCTCGGTCTCGGAAATCAAAAATGAAGCAGGTCATTCTGAAGCCATAACGATTTTGAATAGAAATCGAATTTGTAGTTATACATTTTAGTATTGCATTAAGGGCGCGTCATTTTGAAGCGGAAATAATAAAAAAAGCGAAGAAAAACTCATCAGAAGGCTGCACTGCAGTCGCAATGTACTTGAGACGAATAATTTAATTTTTTCTTTCGCAGTATCTCAATAAAGGAATAATCTCTGTCGAGCGAATCATTTTTCAAAGCAGTAGAAAACGCTCAACATATCCTGTTCAAAAAACACATTTGAGTGTTTGTGAATCTTGGCATGATGTATCAATGTCGTAGGGGGTGTGGTGCGTTAGGAACGAAATGGTCGCCTCGCGGTGAGAGGGGCGTCGCGCGCGAAGGAATATAG